GCATGCGTGAAATGATTACCGACAAATAAGTACACCGTGTAACTACGCCCAGGAATCTACATTGGTCTTCCGTGCGGCCGCGCGTTACGCCGATTCGTCGTTGATATCCGCACTTTCCTTGTCCACCCTGGTCTTGCCAAGCGTGTAAAAGCCACACGGCTTTCTTGTGTCGCGCACAAAGAGCATGTAGATACTTTTGATAAATGGCTATTTCTTTTTGCCCCGATCGATTCGTACCGCGTGATGGCGGTGCATCATCGGCTGCGTTCAGAAAACGCAACGGTTACACAACGGTTGAGTAATTCGTCAACGTTATTGGTCTGAATGTAAGGATCTAACAGTAAGGACCAATAGTTACTAAGCGCTCAGTGAGCGCTTTGTTTCCTGAACGCAACCATTGTCGTTATTATTTGCCACTATTTGCAGTGAACGCGATTTTTGGTCAAACGTATTGTGCACGCGTTCTGCACTTCAACATGTGTTTCATCATCGCGCGCGCATGCTCGCATGCGCACGACTCTCCGTGCTCTGCGGTGCTGACCCGACGACGAGAAAGAACGAAAGTAACGACGACCAATCGCACTCGCAGCGCGCTACGCAGAGCACGGTGACGCACGGTAAAACATTGACGGTAATGCCTGCGTGCGTGGAGAAAACATTTACATTGATTTTACAAGCGTATCGCACAACGTTGTGCGCAACGCGTGTTACGCGCCTTAATCAATTGGCAAAATTGGCGTGTGTGTCAGTAGCAGTAATGATTGCGCGTAGAATAGCGTTCGCTAGAATCGTAGATGGCGACACGAGAATCAACGTGCTGAGGAACAGGCTGTATGTATATTTTACTTGCAGTTGTGCAAGTAATAATGACCTCACAAGAACAAAAATTTTAAATAATCGTTTGAAATGCTGTTTATTGCTTGATCAGTTGCTTGATACAGCGTGCTGTATCGCTTCGATATGTATCTATCGATCGAATCGAGATTTATCGCCGTTAATAGAGAGAACGGCCTCGAGTGTCGGCGGAACCGCGTCGAAAGACTTGAGCGAAAGCGCTGCGGCTCTCAGACCTACGAGAATGCAATCGCTCTCGTCTAAATTTCGATGAATCCCGTAAATTACTCCAGCGGCCAAACAATCCCCGCAACCGCTCACGCTGAGCACCTCGCCGGATTTCGTAGCATTCTTCTCTTCAGCGGGATACAAGCGAGATAAGACGGAGGAATTAGCGATCGTCAGCTTCCCGTCTTCGTCGTAGAAGGGCTCGTTTCCCGATGCTCCGCGTGTTACCTGCGGGATCATGACCGACCGACCGACCGCTCCATGGGTATAATAATTATTGGCAGTGGTCGAAACTTATATTTAAAATTATGTCAGGTTTATCTTCAGATGTTATTATATATATATATATATATACATACTTCAGATTGTCGTTTTATTGACTACAAAATATCTGAAGGTGAAGTTCAAGATAATCTTATAAACACAAGACATCCAACTTTGGCTGTGCTCCGGATATTCCGGAGGATACTGCCAGCACTGAAAATCTATAGTATATAGGTGAGACAAACCATGTATTTTCTGGTACTGGCAGCGAATATCGGATCGGAGCAGCCTCCCTCTAAATATCTCTAAAGTCTATAAGAATACTTTCGTAGATATCGCGGATTCGCGGTCATGTTGGAAGATAAATTCGAGTTCTCTGAGAGATACAAACCAACACTCCTTGTGGTCCCAGAGTAGTGACGATCACTGGAATGTGTTCGCTCAATCTGTCGGCTATACGCCTCGCCTCAGCTTCCCAGTCTGTGTCTTGGGTGACAGAAATGCCGAAGAATCTGCTGATAACTCTTAGCTCGTGTAAATTGGGCGAAATAAAATGTAACACATCTCGCCATTGTCGACCAACTTGGAATATCCTCGCTGCTTTCTGGATATCCGTGGGCTCATACCAAACTGCAAATGAAAAGTGACAACGATTTTTGTCCGAGAAAAAACTTTTCTCTTGTCTATGTCTTATCTGATACAAATTACTCAAGTGCTCTCGGTGCTATTTCTTTTGCTTTTTGTTTGTTTTTCCCGATTCTCTCTCCCGAGTCTCGATTATCGATAAGAATGTGTTCATTGTAATAATTAAAATCATAAGAGGAAAGGCTTAAGGAAGAGACATTTCCCCTCGGAAGATCTAGAAAATAAGTCCGTATAATGTCCTTCCTCCTTTCAGGGTTTCTATTCTTTCCGAACATACGTTCCGTTTTTCCTGTCCGTGACCTGTGACGATGAAGACACGGTCTTCATCGACGCCACGATAAAAGACACGCAGCGCGCTCTATTACTCTTACAGTGAACCATCTCCTCTTTCTCGAATAGTGTCGCACGTTAACTCGTTCAGTCGAGCGGGGGGCAACAATACGTGTCGCGTTCGTCGAGTGAGCGCGCACTCCTCTTTTTCTTTTTTTGTTTCCTCACCGTTTCGCACTTGCGCTTCTGCCTGTCTGTCTCGCGTCGAGTAACGCGCGAAAGGGTAACGATGGGGAAGACGATGACGGGCAAGGCCGCCGCCGTGTGCACGGCGATGGCGTTCATTCTCGTGGTGATTGCGTTCACCACACCCAACTGGCTGGAGACCGATGGCAAATTCGACAACCCACAATTCGTCAAGATCGGTGAGACCAAGTCCTTTGTGTGAAATTGTGTCGACGTATCAGCAACGTGTCCACAGATATTAGCATAATTGTCTCGATCCACAAAGTCTTATTCATTCCCCATATTGCCAAATTTTCAAAGTGTGCTCTAGAGAGTGATGTAACTTCATGTATCGAAGCGATAATATTATGAGTTATCACCGTCAGATGTGTATTTGCATCTTGAGGTTGAAGGAGAGAGAGTTACCAGAACTGATGGCTGATTGAGTCGCCGAATCTGTTCTTTGCAGGTCTCTGGCAAGTATGTTTCCAAGGTTTCCAGGATCCACATCATCTCTACGACACCAGGTTTTATGGTTGCTGGTGGGTGTTTGAGGAGGAGTACTACATCATACACGATATACTTCTGCCTGACTTCTTTGTTGCCACTCAATTCTTTTTCACATTGTGTATGACGCTGCTTCTTATCGGAAGCTTTTTAACCATTCTCTATACTTGCTGCTCTCGTCGCCACGAGAAATATCAATTGCTGCTGTGGGTGAATGGTGGCATTTTAACTTTGGCGGGTCTATGTGGTGTCATATCAGTCATTATATTCGGCGCTAGGGGCGATGGCCGTGATTGGATGCCTAATTGGGAGCACAACGATATTAGCTGGTCTTTTGCCTTGGCTGTAGTTGGCAGCGTCATCCTGATAGTCGCTGGTGCTCTATACTTGATCGAAGGACGCAGGTACAGGAAGAAACAAGAGCGAATACTGAACGACGAGCAGAAGACACATACTACCATTTAGCATATTTTTAAATGAATCTCAATAAGACATGTGCGTACGCTAATACCGCCGCCGCAAGAACAAGCAATCTTACTCATCAAATACAAATCATGGACGAATCTCTCTGTGAAGACTTGTAACATTATATTGTTATATATCTACATTATAATTATATTATATTATGATATTTATAAATATATATCTCGTGATGTGTGTATCTATAGATACATGATATCTATAGATCTGTATATACACACGAGAGAGAGAGAGAGAGAGGGAGAGGAAGAATGATTATTTACCACAGGAAATGCAGCATCGAGCCTGAGATTATCTTTACGTTGACAAAAAGTCCGAAAATTCGAATATTCGAAAATCGAATATTTGCTGTTACGACGAGAAGTTTCAAGTGTTCTAATTGATTCTAAGTTTCAATTTCAATGTTGATATAACACGCACACACATCGTATATCTAGTGATAATCCGTCCATTATATAATTTTAAGAGTACAGACTAATTTTTATACATGTACATACAACAAATGAAAATATATAAATCTACGTTATTCACATACTCTGTACACAGCAGATCAATAAAGCGATTGTTAACCATTTACGTGTCACGTCATTCGTACACGTGAATTGTACACGATACAATCCTCGGGCGTGGATCAAATCAATTAGACTCGCCTGTATATGCAACCTACTTTGTACTTGCGAAAAATACTCAAGAATAAATTACAAGACGAAAGCTCTCGCGTGCGAGCGATGATATCGGGGAGGAGTTAGCATCGTGCATACGTGTCGTTGACCTAATTTAGGTTTTATTTTAATCAAGAGTCGCAACACGATCGACCACGTCGAATTTTTCGCGGTTAGTTATTACTCATGAATGACGCATGAATGTGTCACCGTAATGCGTTCATCGAGAGATCTTGGGTGTTCTTTTTCGAAGAAGTTTTCGAAGAACTAATGCAATAAATTACCAGAGATAAAACAGATATATTTCTTTTCTCGCTCTAACTTGTTGTTAGAGCGAGAAGAACTAATTCACAAGTTCATCGAAAAAGTACAAATCCAAATCCTGTTTCAACAACAGCTGATGCATTCGAGTCTTTTAAGAAATTTGTCATTTAGCTATACCGCGTTGCGAAATCGCAACTGATCTGCTCGAACGAATGATATGTTCGATACTGTATTCGTATTTGTTCTGGTCGGTCGATTACAAATCTTTTCCCAATTTTTTCCAAGTCTTTTACGTACGTGGTGTATAATAATAATAATAAGAGCATATATCGCTCGAGACAATACACAGCTCTTTCGTCTCTTTGCGCAACCCTACGTATCATACGCCCTCACATGTTCGACGAAGAAAAGAAAGAAAGATGAACGAGTGAGCGAGTGAGTGAGTGAGGGAATGAGTGAATAAGCGTGAGAGAGAGAGAGAGAGAGAGAGAGAGAGCTTGTGTCAGATCCAAGGAAACGAGCCGACATATATACCCATTTAGTACGCGACGATTTACGTTTAGAAACGCGCTCTTGTTCGCGGTTCGTTTGCGTCCTACAGAATCAAGGTTGGAATGCTCTTATGAGCATGAGGCAGAAAATAAGCAGAAAAATAAAAAGTGTGACGCACGGTGACATATGGCACACACCTTGACGGACCGCGTGTGTGCGTATACATACGCGCAGGGCCGAGCCAAAGAGCACAAAGACTTCCAGAAAGGGACCCGTTTTATTCATCGTCTCTATAATGTTAGACCCTTGTTATTATTCTTCCTTGTTGTATCTGAGATAAGATCTCTAGATTTCATGGATTTCAACATCATCGGCAAAATCAAATTACAGCTAAATCAGCGAATTCTATAGAATTCCTTTGCTACACTCCGCTTGCAACGATAAGAGTTTTCTTTTCGTCCGCTTTTTGTCATTTGCATACTTTCGTTGTTCGTCACGCCAGACACTTTCTCACATATCCGCATACACCTCGCGACTCGCAGGGGAAAGACCCCATCTACACCGGTGCCGAGCGTGTGCCGCGACACACCTGGTATGCGCGCACCGACTAATTACGCTTGGCATACGTGACTGCGTATGTATGCATGTACATATGTATGTATGTATGCGCGCGCGCGCGCGCGCGCACACACACACACACACATACACGTTCGTCGTGCGGTGGGATATTCGCGTCGCGTCGCGCGTGCCACGAGGTTAGGATCAGGTTAGGTTAGGTTAGGTTTGGTTAGTATGGTTAGGTTAGGTTGGAATCGGTCGCGCACTCCGCACTCCGCCAATAACACAGAACGCTTGGGTGTGGTATCTGTGCCGTGGGATCGTGATTCATGAGACTCGAATAGTTTTCGTTGCGCGTCCAGACGAGGCCGAGCGGTTGGACGGACTAGACGGACGGGACGGACAGCAGACAGACAGACAGGTAGGTAGGTGGACAGGTTGAGAATATTGGTGGTCAATTTGGTCAACTTGGAATCCCTCGCGTGTGAAACAACGACACGCTGCTTCACGCTGCGAGCGACGACATGAAGAAGAGGAGCCTGTCAGGCAACGTCGGCGTCGGCGTGTTCTTGGTGGCGTTTCTATGCGTATGCGTCGCGTTCGGCACGCCCGCATGGCTGGTGAGCGATCCGCGGATCACCGGCGCGCAGCTCGACCGCCTCGGTCTCTGGAGGCATTGCTTTAGATCGCTGCCGAATCCCCAGGAGTCCGACGCGCCCCGTCGCTTCTTCGTCGGCTGCAGATGGGTCTACGACCCGTTCACCGCGGGCTACTCCGACATCCGCGGCTTCTTATTGCCTCGTGAGTCACGTGAGAACGCGCTTACTCCTTTTTTTTCATCGTGTCATCCTTCTTAATAACGAGTCTCTCCTCCTTGCTGCTCCGCGGCGTGTGAACTTGCTGAACTACCTGCGGGCCATCAACAGGAGTGGTTTTTGCTTTGCACATTTGCGCATGTCAGGTCACGTGTTTGTTCGTGGTGTTTCGTTCGTGCAACAAACGTCATCGTGGCAACGTTCGTGAGCGAAAATTGAAATCGGCTCCTGAGCGCGATAGCCGCGCGGAAGCGCGGAAACCTCAGCTGTTAATGGCCCGTGAGAATTCTTCTCTGTTGAGATATCGAGTGAGATATCTGGAATTCTGCATATAAAATCTGACTGACGGGACAGACGGGTTTCTCGACTCGCCCTGTCGAGACGCCATACGAGACGACGATATGAGACGATATTTCTCATTGCAGCGTTCATGGTAGCCACCCAAGTGTTCTTCACGCTGTGCTTTCTTCTGGGCCTGATATCGTTCTTTCTCATACTGCTGTTTACGTTATGCTGCGACCCTGAACGTAAGAGATACATCGAGCTGATAAGTATCATCGGTTATTTGACGCTCGTGAGCGGTCTCAGCGGTGGTATCGCCGTCATCGTGTTTGCTTGCTTTGGCAACGCGGACGGATGGATGCCGGGACACGCCAACAATTACCTGGGATGGTCGTTCGCCTTGGGCGTCATCGGCAGCGTGTTGACGCTAATCGCGAGCAGTCTCTTTCTGGTGGAAGCGAACGTGCAGCAAAAGAAGAGGAACTACCTGAAGGAATCGCAGACGCGATTTCAACTCGAGTCCCGCACCTAACGAGTCGCAGTTAACGACTCTGCTCGCCAAGTGTGAGCGAGTGAATTAATTGTTGTAACTGATAGTCGGTAGTCAGTAATCATTCCGTCCACAAGGTGCGGCACTTTCTCATAGAGGTATCCGTGTAGAAAGTACAAAACTGGATCTGCATTAATTTTTAAGACTTAAGGTTAAAACGCGTAAGTTTCATATTTTTGTATATTTTATATATATATATATATATATATATATATATATATCTCTCTTCCCCCTCTCGAGGATATTCTCGGACGGTCCACACGTACACACGTAAGACGGTCTCATTGAACGATAGTATTGTTACTGACATACGCACAATATGCACCTATACATAATCGTGTATATATGCGAAGGATATGCTGTCGTCGTTACCGGACGGTCTTTCAGACATTCATCCTTCGACTTTCATCCTTTCCTTTGTTGCTGCAATTTCCATTCGAAGACAGTGTCCATTCGTTCTCTTGTTCTCTAACACGTTGACACATATTTCTGATAATTCTATTCGTACACAACACACCCACGGATAAACCAGATTGACGTTTTAAAGGAAACATTTTTTTGTAGAATTAACCGAAACAAAACGAAAGACTTCGAACGTTTATCTTTTAAAAAATACAGACCCGACACATTCGTGTCGCGAATTTCTTCGTTTTAAATTACCCGACCGATCCAATCGTATCCAGTCTTCAATTTCACTCTACACTTTCAACTTCAGTTTACTTCCTCATACGGAATCTTAATTGTCCCCTGGTACGATTACGTGATATTCTGTGTGTGTGTGTGTATGTGTGTGTATGTATGTATATGTATATATATACATATATATATATACATATATATATGACTTATGATTAAATTTTATGCACGAGACGAACGATTATCGCGCAACGTTCACATTTTCGAAACTTATAATCTCTCGAGGAGAACTCGACTTTATCTATAATAAAGCCGTTTAGGGCCGTTAAAGTCAACTCTGTATTCTTCTTCTTGACGCAAAATAAAACATGCAACTCCGAACGTTTCGTACCCGCTTCTTCATAACCCGCTCATTTTGATACAAGAAGAAAGACACACCGTCAAGCTTCCCTCGACGTCATTCCCGGAACCGGACATTTTCCTTTATTTAAGTCCGCGTGCACTGCGAACGGTCGGTAAATTCGAGAAAGTCGAAACGCATATTATTGATTATCGATAACGTTGAGCGTTGCCAACACCCCCGCCATCTCTCGGTGTAATTGGTTCTTATAGTTCTAATAATGCAAGGTGTGGCGAGGGTTCCAGCAAAGGAGCGCGGTGACTAACGAACACAATAATTCTCAACAAAGTTGCTCGAAGAGGTAGATTTGCACGCGACTTATTTCCAGAGCCCACCATGTCGGTAGACAAACAAGAGTATCACAGGGCGTCCAGTGAGTAATTAATCGTATATTGATTGTGTCGATGCGATCATCTTGTAACCTATATTATTAATCTATATAGTTGTATCCGTATAGCTGTATAAATTTATACAAATACTATGGTTTCTTCGTTTCTTTTTTTTTTTAACACTTTTATTTTCTCCCCTCGTCACTTTCTTATTAAAGAGTGAAGAAACTGTTAACTTTCGATTGTGCTTAGATGACTCAATCGTCGTTGTATCTTGTTCATATGTGGTAACCATAATGTAATTTCTTTTCCTTTTTGTTATTTCTTGTAATATTTTATTTCTTTTCTATGTACTACTTTTGTGATCTTAATTGTTATAATCATAATTATCAATCTATTAAAATTATCCTTATTCTCACTGATAGATGCTGTTGTGTTTGGTGGATTGCTCACATACGTGGCTGGAGTATTCTTAGTAATGGCCTTTACAAGGTAATGATACTTATTCTCTCCAGAATTAAATAGTGTCACATATCAGTGTCACATTTGTTGTCCTGTGTACATATATGTATTAACCTCCCAGTCCCTCCCTCCCTCTCTCTCTCTCTCTCTCTCTCTCTCTCTCTCTCTCTCTCTCTCTCTCTCTCTCTCTCTCTCTCTCTCTCTCTCTCTCTCTCTCTCACTCTCACTCTCACTCTCACTCTCTCACTCTCTCTCTCACTCTCACTCTCACATGCTGTTCATTTCCAGTCCATATTGGATCGAGTCGTATCAGGAGACATTCAGCAATTTCAAGCACATGGGCCTTTGGGAGTATTGCTTCGAGCAATTTCGTTATCCATCTTACCAATTTAACAAACAATTCGATGGCTGCCACCACATCTTCTCGCAAGAGTACTATGTTATACGGGAGTGGCTATTACCTGTGTGGCTCATGATCGTGCAGGCATTCGTCACATTGGCTTTGTTGTTGTCTTTCTTTGCGCAGATCACAGTAGTCATGATTCTAATTCGTTGGCCATTGGCACTCGTTCTGCGTTACGAATGGGTATTCTCATCCGCCGCTTTCTTGTGTGACGCAGTTGCTGGTGAGTGAGCTCGAAAGAAAGAAACAGTGTGGGAAGATCGGATCTTAATCGCTGGGCGCTCGTTGGTTTTAGGTGGTTTACTCTTCCTGGCGGTGTCGATATTCGGCGGACAGTGCTGGCGTCGCGACTGGTTGATGTATCCAAACTTCAATCATCTATCGTGGTCGTACGGTCTTGCGGTAATATCGTTCATGCTTCACACATTCGGCGCGTTCTTCCTGTACCTAGACGCGCGAACGGGCTATAGGCTGCGCAAGGAGTCGCGCAACCTCGTTATGCAGATGCAACCAAACCCGCAGTCCCATCATGGGCCGCCGGCACGTGGCGGATATATCTAAATCAGAATCGCATCTTTCTGCGGAATCAAGGCGACACTGTCGAGTCGTTTTTCCGTGCGGAAGTTTCAGCTTTATCGAACGAGCAAGAGATATCGACTCTCTCGAGGTACGAGTATAAGTACAAGTTTGTACGATCCGTCCCATTTGATCTTGTAACATTTCTATGCCTGTAGAGCTTTACGAAGACGACATGATGATCGAGGATTCGACCGATCGATCGCAATTGAACATGCATTATTGAGATTTTTTTTTTCTCTCTATACTGTTCCGATGCGTTTCTTTCTTTGTTACCTTTCAGATTTACCTACGCTAAACGTCTACTATCCGTCCATATTGTTTCAAGTTCAAGTATTTAGATCATACACACGCGCGCGCGTGCGACCGTGATTTGTACAAATATATATTTTATGAAAATTATATCGCGCGTAATTTATATATAAGAAAATTTATACAAAAAAAGGTACACGTATATATTCTATAAACGTATTATGAAAAAAGATTATACGCGATAGTTGATGTGTCACGTAACTTTCTACTCACGACAAAAGGTATGAAAAATAAATACGAAAGAATAAATACTTCATTTTCATAAAAAGAGCGAAGCAGCAATAAATTATTATTCGTGGGGAAACTCACTCGGCACGTTGGCTTGCGACGCAATGTCCAGCACGTAGCGCATGGTATCAGTCGGAAGATTGGCATCGAGGACCAGGAGACTGGCTTCTTCGAGGTGTGAGCGGTGCTCCCGTATCAGTTCGGGCGCAATCGCCGCGAAGGATTCCATTTCGTTGATGCAGAAGGAACATTCTCCGTTGCCGTTCAACACCACTGTGAATCTACGCGGAGCAAACAACAACAACAACTGGCGTTGCGATTTCCTCAGTGTGAAGCTGCTGCTGTTGCTGCTGCTGATCGAGATGCAACAAAATCAAGATCAAAATTTATACCTTGCGGTATCCACATCAGGCAACCGCTTCACCGTCTCCGCCCCGGCTCCGAGGCTGTCGACTATCAATCTGCCGTGCTCATCATCGCCCACAACGGATATCAGCCGTGTGTTCGCCAAACCGAGCTTGATCAACGCTTCGGCGATGTTCCGGCCGACCCCGCCGCAGCTGCGTCTGCTTCGTCCATCATGCGTTCTGCCGTCACTCTGCGACAAATAATCATCAGGTCGATTCGCGCGAGTCTTTTTTCCCCGGCAACCAATGTCCAATGAACAATATTTATATAAATTTATACAATGAACAAAGCAGTTTCCGCGCACGGACGAACAAATGAAATAAGTAAAATGTGATCTTTGCGGAGAAAAACGCTGAGATCAACACCCAACATCTTTCTCAGTGTCTGTTGGGATCTGCGAAGTCCCGATGGAACAATTCCACCTGGAGTTACGCAGCAAGCCACGCTATATTTCGAGGGAACCTTACAAACTAGTGGTAAGGTCGGCAGAGTCTCATTTCTCGGCGAGAGAGCCCGCCCGGAAAAAGTGAGAAGAGAGAGTGCACCCTTAAGAAAATGTGTGTGTCTCTCGACGCGAGAGAGCTTCTTGCCGCTTGGTGTTTTTGTCCCACCGTTATAACGATTCAATTATACCTCTGGCATTCGCTCCAGGGGTCACGTGGCTGAGGGTGCTCAAAACGGGCAGACGAAGAGGATCTGTCTGCTCGCGTTAGCTAAACCAAGATGAAGGGTTCCTCATCTCCCTTCTCGTCTCACTCTTATCTACTATCTACTAGTATACGGCCAGTCTGTATTATCTCCAACGTCATTAGACGTTTGAATCTCGACATTACGTTGTCGACATTCTCTTTTTTTGTCCTCTTCTCTCTCTCTCTCTCTCTCTCTCTCTCTCTCTCTCTCTCTCTCTCTCTCTCTCTCTCTCTCTCTCTCTCTCCCCCCCCCACTGTGTGTCATCTTTTTCCCGTACTTTCATCGCATTTGATAGTATAATGGTACTCCGGCCGGATACTCTTATCTCTACTTTTCTTCGAACTCTCTCCCCTAACGTACTTCTGTACTTTGATGCACTTCAGCGCTGTGGACGGACCTCTGAATACGGACCTGGACACGGTTTCTTGACTCAAACTCCTTGCTCAAGCCCATTATAAACATTGTCCTATCATTGATAATCTCAAGCTCACAAAAACACGGCTCGTTCGAACGCACGACAGAAAGCAAAAAAAAAGAGGGGGGGGGGGATTCCTCGTCGTGTCGTGTCGTGTCGCGTGAATAATGGCATTCGGCGGAACGGCGGAATTTTCACTCGGCGGTAAACTTTCCCTAAAGGGAACTATCCATAAAACAATAATGTAGACTCCTCTCCTCTAAGATCTACGAGAGGGAAAAAAAGAGGGAATAGAAAAGTATCGTAAAGTTCGTGACAAGTGACAACTTGGCCACCACGATATTCCGCCCTTGCGCGCTTTTCCCCTTCTCGTGTCTTTTCTCTCTATGTAAGCGTCTCTCGGTCGTTCGGCGATCCTCGCGCCGTTATCCATCGCCAGCCCGGTTGCCCACCTCGGGCGCTGTTCATGGCCACCTTTTGGCGTGCGGACACATCCCCCTCGTCAGCGACATATCCTCCCTCGTGTCTCCTCCTCGTGTTGTCTACGAGACAAATAAAGAGAACGGATAATAAGAAATTAAGAGCCGACAGGAGAGGGGAGAGAAAGCCAAAAGGGAGGGAGCGAGGGAGGCAGGTGGGGATCGAGTATATTCCTCCGTGGTTCACAACATCATTGTTTCATGTGCCGGGCGTTCAAGAGGGCGTAAAGGAGGAGTGTCGAACAGCAGCGTGACCGCGACGGCAGATCGTCATCGTCATCGTCGTCATCGCCGTCGTCGCCGTCGTCGTCGCGACGCTCGGTCGCGCGCATTAGTTCTCGACTTTGTGCGATCCGTGGCAGTGAGGAGCGCGTCGCGTCGCGTCGCGTCGCGTCGCGTCGCGTCGCGCCGCTCCGCTCCGCTCCGCTCCGCTCCGCATAGCTAGGCTAGACGAGGAACGTCGTCGTGTAGCGACGACATGCGCCACGGTCATCGACGACAGCCTTGCGAGGTGTCGACTGTGAGCGAAAGAATCAGCAGAAACACAAGCAGGGAAGCCAGGAGCAAGACGATTACGACGACAGCAAAGAGAACGGAGTCGAAGACGAAGAGATACTTCGAATTTCAGTCTATGACGAAGACGCCAAAGACGCATAACGAGAAGATCCGCCCTCGGATGTGGCGAAGCGCTGGTGAAAAGTGTTAATAACTGGGAAGAAAACGAGCATGACAACGAGCTGATGCGACGGCTGTGCACCGACTGTGAGCATGAACGACGCAAACGACGGCGCCGAGGACTGCGATGCTCATAGAGGAAGCGGCTGCAACGACAACGATCACGCTCCTCGGATGCACCTCGAGCGCCGTACGGTCAACCCGATTGATGACGACGCCCGATCGCGGCACAGAGAACTCTCGACAAACCCGGTGAACGATCGCGCCCCCGCTGCGTGCTACACGTAGATCGATCGACGATGTGAATGCGCGTCGTAGAAGGCGCCCGAGGTCAGTAGTAACAAGATGCCGCCGCGCGGTCTCCCGAGCAGTGACGCCGAACCCTTTGCGCGAAATCTTTGCCCCGAGTCGCTCGCGTTCCTTCGACGACAAGTGGCGACTAGGAGAAAAATCAGATTCCTATCGATTCTCGTGTTCCCTCGGAAAAGAGGAACGGACCTTTCGAAGACGAGAATCTTTCTCTCATTTCTCTTCCTCTTTCGAGGGAGAGGATTTCTCAAAGAGGTAGAGCTCGTTTTCGCGAGAAAAAGGCTCGGGGACCTTTCTCGTAGTTGAGAGAGAGAGAGAGAGAGAGAGAGAGAGAGAGAGAGAGAGAGAGAGAGAGATTCTTCTCTCTTGGAGACAAGTACTCGCCTTCGGACATTACATGTGTCTTTTGTTCTACGGGTAGAATCCTTCGCGGTAGTATCTGACGATTACCGGGCAAATCGAACCAGTCCGTCTCTACCTGTCTTTCATAATTCGTATTCTCAGAGTCATCGGGATAATCGTTATACTACATAGTAGACGGAGAAAGCAGGATAAGTGTCATGAAGAGATCGCGAACTGCATTCGTCATACTGCGGTCTTGCCCTACGATGTGTCGTGCGGAGGTATCGACGAAACATGTTGTTAAGATATAACGCGGGTGCATCCTCGGGAATGCGAGAAGCGACAAACGAGCGTGATCTGCTCGATCGCACGCGGTAGTGTCGTGTACTGCGCGGCGTTGTCTCATCATCGAAGGACAAGCGCACGTTCTTTCCGGTACATGCGGCATTTATCGTCGCAACGTTGCATGCAACAAAAATAGGACAAAGACGAGCGATAATAAATTCCTTCGGGAAGGTCGGGAGGAAGATTGCATAACACTACGCTCCCCCCTCCCTCCCTCCCCCCCTCTCTCTCTCTCCCCTCTTTATATATATATATATATATGTACACACACATTGCCACCTCCCTCCACCCAATCCAACCCTCCGCTGCCATCTACTCCTCTTCGTCTTCTTCTCCGCTCACCCCTTCTCTAGCTACACACGCGCGCGCGCCCTCGCGTCTCTTCCTCCTCCTTCGCGTCATCGTCATCCTTTTCCTCTCTATCTTTTCACGCCTCTTGCTCGATCGATGTGTCATTCGATATCTAATTAAAGGCTACTCGGTAATCTTTTTTTTTCGCGCTCGTCGTTGTCCGCCCGTCCTCGTAAAAGGCGCAGCCATAAAATCAACTTGCGGCTCTGATAGCGCTGGTTAACGGCGAGTCCGGCGAGAGTCGAGGCGAGAGATCGTTCGGCACCACGCTCGGCATCATCACCGCTTTGGCGCATCGATCCGCGCGCCTCTTGGTTCCTTTCCTTTCGCCACGGAATTATGTAAAGTAGGTACAGTACTGGATAACGGCCAGGACGTTGACAGCTCCCGGCCGCTGACTGAAAATTGCTTCTACGTGGAAGAACGAAAGGGGGTAACAACTACGCGTTGTGTCAGCCAGCCTTTCGCTCTATCACCCCCTCTCTCCCCTTGCACTCTTTCACTTTCCCCCTTTCTATGCTTTTCTTTGCCTCCCTCCCTTCTTCTTTTTTCTTTTCCCTTCCCCCCCCCTCTCTCTCTCTCTCTGCCTAATTCCTCGTGCTTTTCTTTCGCTCGTTTGTCGCGTGTATGCGTGTGGGGGGAGAACGCGTGCTACGCGCATCATATTTGAATACGATCGATGGACCCTAACCGTTCCGCATTCTTCGTTTGTGTTTACGTTACAATGCGTCATTCTTCATGTATATTCGTCGTAGCCCGCATGCAACCAGTCATATGTCAACGCATGTGAAAACGGGAGCGCACTTTGCGGATGCACCGCAAGAAAAAGCGCGAGTCGAATCCTCGGCGATGCGCGTTCTTCTCGCCACGAGAAACACGGTCCGAGGATCTCACCACCGAGAGGCTCTTCCTCTCCTCTCGTTTTCGAGTGCCATCGTTTCGTGTACTTGGTCGTCCGCTCGCCTGGAACAATGACTTTGCGTTTATTATTTGTTTTTCTTGCTACTTTTCCCTGTGTGAAGTATGGTAGACTATACTTTTCTATCCCCCCTCCCCCCCCCCCTCTCTCTCTCTCTCTCTATATTCTTTTCTTCTCTCTCTCTCTCTCTCTCTTCTTTTCCCTCCTTCTCTTCATGATAACACACGTCGATTGTTTTGTGAGCGTGTACGGCACGTTACACACGCGCTTTCCGGCTCTCCTCTTCATCCTTTCACTCCGCAAACTGACGACTCTTCGTAGCGACATACCCAGACGCATATTATCTCTCTCTCTCTCTCTCTCTCTCTCTCTCTCTCTCTCTCTCTCTCTCTCTCTCTCTCTCTCTCTCTCTCTCTCTCTCTCTCTCTCTCTCTCCATTTCTCGCGCGCAATCAGTGTTGCCAGCAAAATCGTGTTCGATTGTGCCAAAAAGTGTATCACATTAGTGCGTTTTATGCCATTCGAGCTAAATTAATATATTTTGAAGATTTTATAAGAACTGAGGAATCTATAAGTAGTTTTTATTGTCTAATCTTATATTTGTATCTTAAATATGCATCTTAAAAACTAACACTTTTTGTGCATCTTTAGAGGTTCAGAAACTTTACTTTGAGAGCTGTATTCATAATCCGGTCTTATATTTAAGATCGTCTTAAGTTCATCTTCAGATGCTGTATAGTTCATTTCATTGGCTACAGAATATCTGAACGTGAACTCAAGACGGTGTTAAATATAAGATCCGACTATGAATACGGTCCTGAATGTAGAGTAATTGAATTAACCAATCATGATAAAAAGATATTTGCTCTTTTTATTCTTATTGATTAATCCGATGCTAGTTACTTTATCCGTAATGTACAAGTTCCGAACGCACTCCAAATAGTTTAAGTGCCACTTTATTGGTTATACTAAATCTACATACTCTTGCTTGTAGAATGCGATACGTTTGTCATAGAATCCAAAGATTTAAAACTTTCACATAAAAATGGAATTATATCACTTTTTCTTCTTTTGTGCCACAAAAAATGCATAATGTACCACCAAATCACTAAATTGTGCCTGTGTGCCACTGACCTTTAATTGTGCCACATGTGGTACGAATGTGCCATGACTGGCAACGCTGCGCGCGATTTATCTCTCCGTCCCTCCACAGAGGAATTACATAGAGCTAGGCTTGCGGGAGGATCGATAGATAGAATCGCCTATCACACGCTACAACTGTCAGAAAGAAATACAATTCGCCGAGCAGCGCACGCTAGCTAGCTAGCTTCCCCCGTCGCTGCTCGCTTAAGCTCAAAATGCACGCACGTTGAGCAACGGTTACTTTGTGTCCCGGTTATGTCCCGGTTTAATGCGATTCTCACATCGCCCGCACAGCAGTTACGAAGGGAGAGAATACGAAAGGTCAAGAATCAAAGACCCAGAGAGATCTCGTCCTAGAAATCGAGAAATCATAAATCGACTGTACATTTTGTTGAACGGGCGGAACGGTAACGAGGAAGGCGTCTGTAGTAATAGTATCGGCAAACGAGAGCGTTAGAGAGAAAAGAAATACTTACAAGAGAAATCACAGTTTCTCTTTCGTATTTTCCCGCAGGACGATCTACGATCGTTGCGTGAACATCGGTGCAGACGATACAGGCACGAACATCGAGGCGCTCGGTGCTACCACCACCACCAGCACCACTATCACCACCACCACGGAGGCAAACGTGACACACGTAAAAAAGAGAAAGAAGAAAGGGGGAGGCGTGGAGTACCATGAACGCCAACGCGAACGATCTTCCGGTGTGGCGGTGCATGTCGTGCATCGCGTGACTCGTCGCCGGTAGGCTCGATAGGCGCACACAATAGTGTAGGATCTACGCCGTCACCAACCACCTTCTCTCTCCATCCTCCTCCATCCCTGAAATACATAGTACACCGCGGCGGCCGCCTCCAGCACCACTATTACCACACCAACACATTATCACTACTACCATCATCACCGTCACTATCACTATCACCACCACCACCACCACCACCACCACCACCACCACCACCACCACCACCACCACCACCACCACTACAACCATCACCATCACCATCAACATCACCACCATCACCACCTCCACCCATATTTCCTTCACCACATCACACACAACAGCGGTGGTGTGCAACGCGCGCTGTGGCCCATTTCTCCCACTTGGCGCGGCGGCGGCGGCGGCGGCGGCGGCGGCGACGGCGGCGGCGGCGGCAGCAGCGGCGGCGGCCTCACATACACGGGGGTGAGTCCTTCCAATCCTTAAACGACAAGGAAACGCACACCAGGGTGTCACGATAGTATGACGGTGATGCTGCTGCAACGTTCACTCACCCCGCAGTCGACGCACAGCCAAAAGACAGCGACAAAGGACTGCAGTGCGAAGCCGCCTTTCCTCTTTCTGTTGGACGACTGTCAGGAGCATCGGCACTCTACCGACACCGACACCACGACTACTACAAACAACAATAATAACAATCATAATAACAATAACAACAACAATAACGTCTTCAAGAGAGGCGTACGGAAAAGCAGCAGCTGCGACCACGTCGCCAACGAGGCGCCGTCGTCGGTGACGTCTCAACGACTCGCCGACGGTGGTGAGGACGTCGCGATGCGATATTACCGCCTCTGGATTTACGCCTGTAACCTGGTGCTCTTCGGTAGCGCGGTCGGCTTCACAGCCGCGGTGTCGCAAACCCTCCTGTTCACTGGCGACCCGCGTCGGCACGTGGTGCCAGGTGTGCCACGCGCCTTTGACTTCACCACACTTTACGCGTACGTCGCCTTGGCGGCACAACTCGGTCTAGTGCAGCTGCTCGGCTGCATCGCCGCCAGACGGCTCAGCGTTCGTCTGCTCAACGCCTACTGGATAGTGCTGTTGGCGTTGCTCTTCGGCGACATTATTATCGGCGTCGCGTGGATCTTTCGCTTTGACAAGCTGCGCGCCGAGATCAAGCCTACGCTCAAGCTGCGCTTGCAGGTGCGCGCTTCGCCTCGCGTGAATCTTTTTCATCTTTTTTTGTTCTTTTTGTCATCTTCATCATTATTTTTGCCTTTCTCTTCTTCTTTTTCTTCCTCTTCTACTCGCCTCTCCTCCTCCTCCTCCTCCTCCTCCTCCTCCTCCTCCTCCTCCTCCTCCTCCTCCTCCTCCTCCTCCTCCTCCTCTTCTCCTTCTTTTTTTCTTTTTCTGCTCCTTTTTCTTCCTTTTCTTTTTCTGCTTCTTTTTCTTCTTTTTCTTTTTCTTCTTCTTCTTCTTCTTCTTCTTTTTCTTCCCAGTACTTGTGATCAATCAAGAGCCACGATATTCGCTATCAGTATTCGTTGAATTCCGAGACTCGGTAGCTAAAGAAATTTCAACAAGTGGACAGAGAGCTGTGAAGGGTTACAATATAGGGACGCTTCGACATCTCTCAATCTCTCGCAGATTCCCCTTTTGCTCAAATACTTTTATATTTTTATTAATTTCCGCCGACTTTACGGCACATCCGTGATCTTGACGAATTGGATTTCTGAATCACACTTGTCAGTCTTGTCTCGCTTACGCGCGTAACCTTTCCGGACTCGCACTTCGCTTTTGTCTTCAACTAGTCGTCCAAATCCATATTCCAAATATGTCCGCGTTCATACGCGGTGGCGGCGGTAGATAAGATTAATGAGATGTGCCTGATTCACGTGCACAGGTGGATTACGGTAAGGAGCCGCGGTTCAGTGAGCAATGGGATCGACTGCAGCGGGAGTTTATGTGCTGCGGCGTAACCGGGCCCCGGGACTTCGGTGCACGCTGGCCGCAGACCTGCTGCAGCCCAAGTATGAATGCCAGCGAGCCTTGCCCGCACCCGTACGGCCGTGGCTGCGAGGAATCGTTGGCACGCTGGCTCAGGAAGACCGCGGACTTGCTGCTCGTGCTGGGCTTCTGCGTAATCGCTTTCGCCAAGCTCTGCTTCCTCGGCATACTGCGCTACGAGATACGGGAGATGATACAAAAGATAAGAATGCTGCGGGAGCCACCGCCGCCGGCCGCGACCTTCGCCCAGCCGCCGTTCTCGCAGGTCTTACCGGCGGAGGCGACGGCCAACAATGGCAGCATCGTCAGACGTACGACCCTGCCTAATACGGTCACACCTTCCGGTAATAATCACGATAACAAGCTAACCACCACGCTATCTCGATTAACCGAGACGAGACATCGCTGCTCGCGTCTCCCGTTTCTCTCTCTCTCTCTCTCTCTCTCTCTCTCTCTCTCTCTCTCTCTCTCTCTCTCTCTCTCTCTCTCTCTCTCTCTCTCTCCCTCTCCCTCTCTCTCTCTCTCTCTCTCTCTCTCTCTCTCTCTCTCTCTCTCTCTATTTCATACAAATTAAATCACGTATTATTGAATAAATCGACGGAGTAAAATAATCAGCCACTCTCAGCGAGTGCGGAAGTCAGAGAGAATCGGGAATAGCGATTATACACGGAGAAAAAAGATCAGTTGAATCAACGTGACGATGTACGAGCCACGGCACACATGTCTTGTGATTGAAAGAAACAGAAGCTCTTGGCTGAGCTAACCAAATTCGGCTCCAGTTAAAATCTCGAGTCTCTGGCTTTAAGAAGAAAAAATTCTGCTTCATTCGACCAAAATAGGCAACTTGATTCGTTTCCTCACAGCACGACAGATTCAACGGCGGATCTGTTGTTCTCCGTGTAGTTACAATAGATAAAGTCAATGATTGTCTCCTGGATTACGCCTCTTCTCTGGATTCTTTCCCTCTCTCCGTTCTCACAGGCAACGCGTCGCTGTTGCTGCAGTCGGATGAATGCAACGCCGGCCGGCACCCGTTGCTCGCGAACAATCTGCAGGACGGCGGCGCCGACAGCGACACGAACAGCCACTGCGCCCTCATACTTGAGGAGACGACGCCGACTTCGGCGAACCACAATTGCACAGCGACAGCGAGCCGCGAGAAGAGCAACGGCAACAACAACTACGAGATGCGTGAGTTCAACCGCAGATTGCTGCTGTCGAATGGCGCGAGTCCGGCTACGGGTATCACCGCGGGCGGTCAAAGCAGACGCACCTGACTATGGAGATGGTGGCGAAGCACCTCGAACCGTTTCCTGTACAGGAGTAACCGGCGCGCCGACATACCGCTATACAAATAAGGCGATAACCAGACGTTACCAGACTTCCTATCAGGTGTTTCGGTTTCTTTTCTAAGAGAATAATGATACAAAAGAGGAGAGAGACACGTATACAAAAACAGACACGCTACACACTACAATAAGGTAGAGAGATAGACGAGTAGATGGACGGATGGACGGACGAGCGGACGAGCGAACGAGCGAACGATCAGACGATCAGACAAACATAGACACATAGAAAGTTACTAGCTGGCGCGAGTTGAACGTATAAGACGGACATGCGAGGGCACGCTGTCGCGCGCGATCGCGTCGGCGAGACTGTATTTCGAAGAATTTCGAAAAACATCGTATAACTTTCTTATATAGTTTGCCGTCTCCCTCCCTTCTTCATCCGCGATTCTCTCAGCGGTGCACGCTTCGACGACGACGACGACGACGACGACGACGACGACGACGACGACGACGACGACGACGACGACGACGACGACGACGACGGACGACGACGACGATGACAGACGTTGGACGGTAAAAAAACATTGAGACCAAGCAAATTCGCGCGAATCAATATCACACAGTGGTACTATGTACTTCACTACGAAAGACCAAATCAAAACATATAAGATAGTAGGCAGTATCTCGGTTTTTGTGAGGCACGACTCGAGACTAGAGGGAGGTCGCCTCGAGACGAAGCGCGCGAAGCAGCCGACTGCGCGAACATAGCACCGCGAGGCGAGTATTGCGACGCGATATCGCGGCATCGCCGATGTTGACATCGCGTGTACGAGTACCTCGATCGTTCATCTTTTTCCTTTCTTTTGTACGAATCTTTATCATCGACCCGACCAATGCCGTTGAGCCAACGTGAGCGCGACAGCGCTCGTCGCAGCATCGTCCGGTCAGCCGACAGTCCCGCGCGATATCATCATCGAGCGTAAGTGTGACGAGCAACTCGCATAGCGAAGCATAGTCGAGAAAGCGCGTTCTATTTGCGGCACGTAATACTAATAGCGCCAGTCATACTAATTTCGTCATCGTCGACGTTAGTCGCCAACACACTGCAGGCGTATATGCTAATTTTAAATAATTATAGCAGAAACTTTCTTCTCTCTCTCTCTCTCTCTCTCTCCTCTCTCTCTCTCTCCTCTCTCCTCCTCTCCTCCTCTCTCTCTCTCTCTCTCTCTCTCTCTCTCTCTCTCTCTCGGCTTATCTTTATTATAGACCGCATTGTCCCTTCATCAACTTATGCCGTGCTCATAAGGGAGCGAAAGCATGCGCGTCTGAGATTAAAATCGCGAGTTGCTCGTTACGTCGCAAGACCCTCGAACTCTCTCTCCCTCGGAGCAGCGAGTGGCGCGCGCCTCATGTGTATCTATCCGTCCTTGCATGGTCGGTGAAAACTACTTTTGTAGATTTATTTCTAACCGTAAGAATTTCTTATACATACCACGCGCGCGCGTTCTTCTCTCCCGAACAAGACACGTATCGATCGCATCATCGATGAGAGGAAACATCGCCGCATATCATTTTTCTTCTCTCGTGCGCGGAAGTGACGCGCTCGAGTCTCTCTCGTTGGTAGTGTGTTACTTTACCAAGTAGTCGAGTGTAACTCTCGTTACCGGTGGTAGCATGCGGGACAAGAGCGCTCGGCGCTTCTCTCCTCAACGACCGATCAAAGTCGTCTTTGATCGGCTTTTGCGCATCAGCAATCAATTATCTCGTTTACGTTCTGTCTACAACGAAGACCTCAACGTCAATAATCCGTTCGATCAATCAATTACATACCGCTATCGAAATAAATTCCCGTAAATGAGAGAGAGAGAGAGAGAGAGAGAGAGAGAGAGAGAGAGAGAGAGAGAGAGAGAGAGAGAGGAGAGAGAGAGAGAGAGAGAG